CTGTTTGAACTAGTAGAAGGTTCCAATGGAAAAATGTAGGACCTATAATGTCCTCTAATATGAATTTCCTGCACTCAAGAAGTCTTTTCTGATGATGAAAAATCAGTTCAGTTGAATGGAAAAAATGGATAAACGTTGAGAATCCAATATGAGTTTGAAAACTGGATGTATGCAGCTCCAACAGAAACTTCCTACCTTTCTTCACTTCATTGGTCCAATAATGATAACAATAAGGTAAATTTGTGATTCATTGATATATTTATCACTGATGAATAACTCTCATTTGCAGTGCCTATCTGAGAGAGAACATGCTTGAAATAATCAACAGTTCATACCTATTTTGTTCATGGGGAAATGTCTCCAGAAACTAGGACTTGGAGAAATAAGTATGGTTGTTTTTATTTCGAATATTTTTATAAGAAAAATGAAGCAAATTCAATGCCTTTGACTTTTGAACTGCAATACACAAAGCTGGGCAAGAAAAAAGACATTATGAACATGTGCAGGTAGGTAATTTATAGTTTTATTTGTAATGCTTGACTCATATAAAAATCTTGTTCATGACATCCTGCCTAGGCCTCCATAGATTCCTATTTTGTAGTATCGCATCTTTGTAGTAAAATCGCCAATGCAGATTGCATGTACTTCCAAAATGATTAAGTTAAAATACAGCTCCAATTACATTCATATGAGCAAAAACAGTAGCATATTTTATAGATATATATATAATAACCCTGGTACAAGCAGGTCATTGTAGGTAGCTTACTTCATAGCTTGAATTGAATCTTTGAACATACTGAAGTGACACAATCTATTTCTATTTGAATATTTAGATTGTGTAATAGCTAATAGCTATGGTTTGTTTATAGTAGGTACTAATAATTCTTCAATTTTTCAGCAGGGGAGGAGTTGCCATCCAGGGTATCTTGCAATTGAGTGCAATTAGTTACACAAATTGAAACCAAAATCCAGATTCCTTGAAGTTGAATTCAAGTTTTCAAGGATATATCACTGATTATTTGGGTACTTGAACATATCCATGACATTTCAAATTGTATCTTGGAAAAATGTATTCATAATTTTACTGCTTGTATGTTATTATTAAACTGTATTTATTCATAAGTAAACATTCTACTTTTTTTTCTGTTTTGTAATGTTTTATTGTAGGTTTTCAAAATTCATATTTCAATTCCACAACTACCTCAATCAACACCTCATTCTTTTTTGATGCAATTTCAAAGTTTCACTTTATAATCTTTACTGATTCCTTTTAAAATAGGTACCTACCAGAAAGATACTTTTGCTCATTGTTAATTTATGTCTACATACATAAAAATCCTGGATTTCAAATTCATTCATAATTGTAAATTTTTATGAAGGTATCTTGTGAAATAATTCAGGGGAAAACAGTATACATGAGCACTGAGGGAAGGTGGGAAGGAGTATACTGGACTATCCTTCTATTTGTAGGTACTTCTTTCTGGACTTCTTTGGAGTGGCATAAGTACAGTAAAACACATGTTATGTCAATGTACTTTCATTCTCGAACATTATTATTAATTCAGTTCCGAAATATAAAAAACATAATGAAATATACAGATTGATAAGATAGATATTCTCAATTAGATGAATTTAGGATTACAAAATGATATCAAATCACAAAATTTATGATAATATACTGTGTAAATACATTAACTGAAATCCTTGGTCATTTGATCAATGTTTTCCTCAAAGCAGCCTGGAAGTAATTGTTGTATCTACTATTAAATCCACAGTATTGTCAGGATGCCTTTGGTGTTGAATTATTTCTTGGTTTAGACTCATTAGAGCTGGTTGCTGCTGATTTCTATTGTATTGATCAATTGCACATGACTCTGATGGCTATAATATTTAACACAAAATAGTCGAATAGGTTAACACATTGTTCAGGGATGGTTTTGAGTATGTTCACAGAAGGCTGTTCACTGTTGAAAAACTTCACTCCTGGTATCACCATTTGTGGTCTGTAGGATCCTTTTGCTTGAAGAGTGGAGTTATAGAAGTATGATGGTGATTATATCAGCTTCTGATGATAGTGGATATGCTTGTAATTTTTGATATCCCATAAAGCTGTCCCACAGAAATGCACTGGTTTGAAGAAATTTGGTCCACGATTCAGTCAGTAGGTAACAGTAATTTTCCTCACATAACGATGAAACAGTAAGATCTAACAAATATAATTATGATTTCAGTTAAAAGTTCAACAATTAACAGAAATAACACGATGAAATATCAAGAAGAAAATGTATGCAAATCTCAAGAAATTTTGTAAACAAACTACACACTCTTTGCCGCCATCTTGTTTTGAAACAGCGCCCCCAACGGTCGAACACCTTGCCAATTGCTAGTGTTGGAATCATATCAGAGAGTCTGAAGATCTCACCTCCTGTGGAAGTATCTATAAAAAAGTAAGAGGTCGCCGACTTTTCTACGGTGTTCCAATGATGTCAAATAATTAGTTAGTGTTGCATCACCCACTAGGTGAATGGCTCCTCTCCAGATGGAATCTAAGAGCATCACCGTATGTTTTGGTGTTGAACCCCAACAGTATCCTGAAACAGGTCGTATCTGTACTTTGTAGATCATGAGAAGCTGTTGAGGATATGATGTAGATTTTTGCACAGAGTAAAAATCCGAGTTATTGTGAAGCAGCTTCGGCGATCGAACTGACATGATTTTTTAGTGAAAGAGTATTGCTGATTGAGTTACCGAGCATAGATATAGTGGACTTGGTGGAAATGATGGTACCAGACATTGATACAGCAGGCCTACTGAGTTTCGCCTTCCTAGAAAAAATCAAGGCTTGAGTTTTGGTGGCGTTGAATTCAACCAGGTTATTGGTTTCCCAGGCTGTAATTCTTTCGAGATAGAAAGCAGTATGGAGAGTATACTATCATCTCCAAAACTGTGGATGGAGCAAGTGGTTACCCCCAACATCAGATCATTTGATATGAAGTATAGGAACAATGTTGGTGCTAAAATTGATCCTTGTGGAACGCAAGAATTGATGGCTATGGTATCAGACGATACTCTGTGCACCACCACATGGAGCGATCTGCTTGAAACCAGATAAAAGTTGGTTTAGCTGAGGTGGTAAGCCGTATGAAGGTAGTTTGTGGAGGATTCCTTGGTGTCAAACACGGTCGATTGTACTGATTGTAGAATAACTAGTCCCGCGTTATCGTGCCATGCCAGTGTCAAAATTCCTGTGTTCCTGATTCCAAACTGAAGCAAGCTCCATCATCGTAATACAGGAGCAGTGTATATGGGCAGCATATTTAGGGGTATTCAATCGATGGTTCGAATATCAAATCAAATTGAATCGAATCAAATCAAAACTGAGCTTCATTGTCCAAGAAACATTATTCCTATATTGACAAAGCGTTAACTAGCAAGTGGATAGCCACTATGTCCAATTATGATTTCAAAGATATAAATATATAATATAGTTAATGAATGACACAAATACAAGGGTATAAAAAAAGTACAAAAAAGCCATAAAAGCATAACATTTATATCACATACAACGCCAACTAGAAACCATTATACATTATACATGACTTCCAAACTTTTCGTTGACATATTCCTGCAGTTCATAGTATGCTTTTTGAATGAGGAATTTTTTAAACTCCTTTCTGAATTTTTTGATACTACCAATTCCTTTGAATTGTTCTGGCAAGTGATTGTAGATTTTTTTGCTTTCATATATAATATAATTTTTTGTTCGAGTCATCTTCGGTATCGGCAGAGACAGGTGACTGTTATTTCTGGTGGACATAATTATGATTCACCGGGTTTTTGTTAGATGAATGATGTTTGGTGTAGATCAAACAGACTGTTTCCAAAATGAAGAGGCAGGTGAGAGTAAGAACTTGTTGACTGATATAAAGTGGTCTACAATGGTCCCTTGCTTTAGCCTTACACAAACCCCAGAAGGCTATGCCGTACCTGATATGTGACTCTATGAGGTAAAAATACGTGTTTCTGACAATAGCAGGACCAAGCTCATTTGATACAACTCTAATGGCATACCAACCTGATGCTAATATTTTTTTAGTGACGTTACATGCTCTTCAAACCCTAATATTCTGTCAATAGGTATACCTAAGAATTTAGTACTTGTTCTGTTTTCAATCTGATGTGTACCCAATGTCAGATTCTCAAACTCAAATTTGAAGGTTGTTTTCTCCACATTGAATCATAGAGAGTTTGAATCGCACCAAGATTTGAGTTCGTCGAGTTCCTGGGCTACAACTGTTTTTAGGTTTTCTACATTTTGTCCATGCCAAAGGAGGGTAGTATCGTCAGCAGATAGAGTGAATTTTCCCGTGATTGGTGAGCTTGTTAGATCATTTAGGTACAGTAGAAATAGAACTGGACCAAGCACTGATCCTTGAGGAACTCCTGATTTGGCATGTGAGAAGCCAGAAGTTTCACTAGAAATTTCAACAGTTTGTTTCCTCGCGAGAAGATATGATCAAACCATTTGAAAGCAACTCCTCTGAATCCATAATATATAGTTTCCCTAGCAGTATTCCGTGATCAACACAATCGAAAGCTTTCGAAAAATCGCAGAATACAGCTGCTACTACCTCGCCCTCATTCAGACTGAGATATACATTCTCAAGAAATGAAAAAATGGCATCAGTTGTGTTTTTTGAACTTTGAAATCCAAATTGATATTGCGTCCATGTGCGACAGTATATAATGTTTTTGTAAGTATTTAATCATTTTCTTTTCAACAAGTTTTTCTTTGAAATATTACTCGCTGCCAATTTAGGTGGTTCCACTATTCCCTAGATGTTAACAAGTACTAGTCATTTTCTAGACCTATCTTCTCTATAACTTCAGCAAGTAGTTAGATATAGTATCAATGAAATTGGACTGTTGGTTGGTGAAGACCGATTTCTTTTAGGTAGGTATTCGTCACTATCAGTCATTTGGATAGTTATATATTAATCATGGTGGATATGTGAGTATGTGCACTATAACGAGCCTCCATTCATTGCCATCATTATTATTCTATCATACCTACACCTACTAAAATCCGAATTCAATTCCTCGCGAATACGGCACACAGTCTCCCTGCCCAACACACTCTCGCAGAGGGGATGTTAATATTTATTCCTTTTTCATGGATTTTTGAGATTGAGATCGACGCGGGCCCTGCCCGAACCGCGGCAAGTCGGCGCATTCCGCGAGGGGTGGGGCGATATCCCGAGGGGTGGGGTAGCCAACCGATCGCGCGCCATTCCACGACGATCCGCAGACCCGGCAACACTGCACGTTCTGTGCCACAGTTATCCGCGAACATTCCACTCGAAGTCATGCATTCGTGAGCGCGAGTTTCTATGCTTCCATCCAGTGACTGTGCAGGTGAATAATAATAATTATTGTTGTGACCGGCGCGCTTTTGGGGATTTTTTTTCTCGACCTATCGGACTACACTCGTTCACAACGCTGGAACATTTGAGGCCGATCGTGGCTTCTATCACCACCTTGATTGGGAACTGTGATACTATGGAGGCCACGTACTGCGTCGGTACTGATGTCGATGTCTGCCGCATGTTCGATCAGTACTTGTATAAGGTACGTCGTATCGTAGGATCCGGTTGCCCTGTTGTATTCGACACTCGTTTATTACTTACTGGTTCTTTTGCCTAGGTAGGACTACCCGAGGTGCCACTACATAATACCTATATGTAGGTACGCACCATCATAATTATTTTGTCGATTATTTTGTTATGGGTACCTAATTTTGGACTAACTGCAAAGTCTCATATTTCTCCTCGTCTTTCTCGTTCATAACCACCTTCTCTTCTTACTCGTCCGCTGAGTAGGTAAGTATGTAAGTAGCGAGGGGTGGATCACTTCCATAAATACGTGTACATTTTTGTAAAAAGTATTCATAAATACCATTTAAATACCTTAAATACATTCAAGATACATTTAAATATTTTTAATTACATTAGATACACTTAAATATAATTAAATACAATAAGATAGATTTAAATATATTTAGATAGTTTTAGATACCCCTAGATATAATTAAATATATTTAAATTCCTCCAAATACGTGTACATTTTTGTAGAAAGTATTTATAAATACCCTTTAAATACATTAAATACATTCAAGATATATTTAAATATTTTTAATTACCTTATATACACTTAAATATAATTAAATACAATTAGATAGATTTAAATATATTCAGATAGTCTTAAATACCCCAGATACAATTAAATACAATAAGGTAGATTTAAATATATTTAGATAGTTTTAAATAGTTATGAAGCATGCGCGTTACAATATAATTCAAAGCACGGCTCAGACACGGTCCAGAATCTGCGAAATCAGGTGTGAAATATTTAAACAAGATTTTACATGTTACTGACCGTTACTGACTTCTATTGCAGGACGAAAATTTCTTGTGTTATTACTGTCACTTGTTTTGAGTGGTTTTGTTCATAATTCAAGTAAGTCAATATTCAATTTATATTCCTATATCATAGCATACCATGTCCGTCATAAAGATATTATCTGATCTTCCCGTTTGTGATCATTTGTACAGTGCTTTCAAACTATCCATTTCCGAGGAATCTCCTGAGACAATCAATTAGCCACATTTGCACATCAAAATTAAATTTACAGGGTGATCCACGTTTGAGTAATGACAAATTTTCCAAATATTATAAAATTTTTAGAATCACAATGAAAAGGTGAATTCGAAAAATATATCACACATAGGGTGTCCGTTAAATTAAGTCATCTTGTAAAGTGAAAGGATACATTCAATTTTAGTCAAATTATTCTCGAAACTAAACATTTCTGAGAAATCTCGTGAGAGTTTCAACTTCAATTTGCTACATTTATAAGAAAGAAATAAATATACAGGGTGATCCACGTTTGAAACATGACGTCCACGATAGTTTTTCCAAATGGAACACCCTACCAATTTTGGAAAGAACGCTCGAATCCGTCGAATTATATTTGCTTTCGGGAATTCTTTCAAATTCAACTGATTCATTAAACAGAATGATTCGTGTATGGAAAACTGAGTCCTCTGTATTACCTATTTAAATGGCAACCTCCATTTTACGTGAGTACTAAAGGACCCCGCACTTTTAGTACGTAAAATGGTTCTCGGTGAAATTTTCTGAATTTTCAGTATGTTGTAGAATTCGATGAACTGATTGAACCTGCAGAATCGTAAAGTTCTTTGAAGAACAGATTCTGAGATACAGGGCGTTGAAGTTACAAATCGGTATTTTTTATTTAATTATTTTCTCGAAATTCAAAGATGCCAAGTACAATTTTCTTCGCTCATATCATTAACGAACCTCCATATTACTCAACATAATTCAGATGGTTCAGATGATGTAATTGTTTACAGAGTGAAACATATAAACATTTCAGTGATGTCTGAAAATTCGATGTAATAATGAAATATCGAAAAAATAATTTAGGCATGCAATATACTATTCTCATTCCATCATGAATCACAATTCATACATTTCATACAGGGTGATTTGAAAAATTGGTGACACCTAAGACCGATTTATTCATACACATCCTGTATATTCAAGTGAATTGTTAACCTCCCAAGATAGCTGATACCGTATGAACATGATTTCGTTGAGATATATAGGGTGATCATGAAGATTTTCGATGATGAAAATCACAAAAAATCGTGTTTTTTGAAATCACCCTGTTATTCATGATTAACTCGGTGAAATTCCCTAATTATTTTTTAATATATTCATCATTCACTCCTCAACGCTGTCTTAAAAATTCAGTTTCCTATCATGACGGGTGTCATAGTTATTAATTCAGGAACTTACCATTTGCATGAAGAGTTGAAGAGACTTGTTCACTTACATTCGCATAGTGGCCGATATTTTTCACAAATAGTGAAACGTGAGAATCTGGAGACGAAAATAAGTTTAGTATTCATATACAGGGTGAACATTAGAAATTCAATAACAATAGCAGATATATGAATTTAATAATATTAATATAATGTACAGATATAGGCGAATTTCGATTCCAAGATTCAACTCTCCCTATTAGAAATGGAAGCGTGAAAGACCGAATAATTCTCCTATCTCCAAGGTATTGTTTGTTTTTCATTTCGGCAGAGCTTGTAAACCAACGAAATTCGCCTAACTATCTGTACATTATATCAATATTATTAAATTCATATATCTGCTATATTGTTATTGAATTTCTAATGTTCACCCTGTATATGAATACTAAACTTATTTTCGTCTCCAGATTCTCACGTTTCACTATTTGTGAAAAATATCGGCCACTATGCGAATGTAAGTGAACAAGTCTCTTCAACTCTTCATGCAAATGGTAAGTTCCTGAATTAATAACTATGACACCTGTCATGATAGGAAACTGAATTTTCAAGACAGCGTTGAGGAGTGAATGATGAATATATTAAAAAATAATTAGGGAATTTCACCGAGTTAATCATGAATAACAGGGTGATTTCAAAAAACACGATTTTTTGTCATTTTCATCATCGAAAATCTTCATGATCACCCTATATATCTCAACGAAATCATGTTCATACGGTATCAGCTATCTTGGGAGGTTAACAATTCACTCGAATATACAGGATGTGTATGAATAAATCGGTCTTAGGTGTCACCAATTTTTCAAATCACCCTGTATGAAATGTATGAATTGTGATTCATGCTGGAATGAGAATAGTATATTGCATGCCTAAATTATTTTTTGGATATTTCATTATTACATCGAATTTTCAGACATCACTGAAATGTTTATATGTTTCACTCTGTAAACAATTACATCATCTGAACCATCTGAATTATGTTGAGTAATATGGAGGTTCGTTAATGATATGAGCGAAGAAAATTGTACTTGGCATCTTTGAATTTCGAGAAAATAATTAAATAAAAAATACCGATTTGTAACTTCAACACCCTGTATCTCAGAATCTGTTCATCAAAGAACTTTACGATTCTGCAGGTTCAATCAGTTCATCGAATTCTACAACATACTGAAAATTCAGAAAATTTCACCGAGAACCATTTTACGTACTAAAAGTGCGGGGTCCTTTAACGGACGCACTTTATACAAACCCTATGTGTGATATATTATCGAATACTGCTTTTTATGAAGATTGAATAATCTAAAGAGTGTTCCATTTGAATACATTTTCGTGGACGTCAAAACACAAACGTGGATACTTAAAAATATTTTAACTAAAAAAAAAACCATTTTAATCCTTCATAGTGGAAATTTGCCTATATAACAAAAGATAACCTATTTCCAATTTTCACAATCGTAGCTTCAGCGGTTTTGTCTCGACGTTGATGAAGAGTCTACAAGGTAATACAATTTATTTGGTATACTGAGACAACATTTTTTCAATAAATACATTTAAATACGCTCAAATAATTTTAAATACGGTCAAATACTTTCAAATAGGCATAAATATATTTAAATACTGTTAATTACCTTTAAATATCTTAAATACAATAATATTTACATAAATACACTAAATACTATCTTAAATAGATTTAAATACGATAAATACTCCTAAATCGAGAGTATTTTAAATACGTGTACAAATTTTCCTCAAGTGATCCACCCCTCGGTAAGTAGGTATTCATCTAGATCCTATGTGGTTAAAATGATTTTTATTCAATTAACTTCATTTCTGAGTGTTTAGAGGAGTTTTTCACCTAGTTGTAGGTACTCACCTATACTAAAGATAAATACCCGTACATACTATCTACCTCGCTATCTCTAACTATTCTTTCCTCATTTTGATACCTTTGCATGAACATAGGTAGGTACCTATATGAGGATATCTTGTCAGTTATCGATGTAAAGCTCGCTGTTTAGGTTTCCGCTCGGATTTCCGTGAAAAATATGTCTGCACTCCTTTATTAAAGGAGCACAGATTTTTAAATAGAATGTGTGTTTCACAAGGTGTCTCATAATTATTATCTCTAGATGTTTCAAGACATGACAAGTGAGTCTATCAAGGTCCTTATTGGAGTCCTTACTCTCAAAAAAGTATTGACCGTCAGATCATCTATAGCTAGGCACTCTACCTATACCCAAATATGTACCTACATAGGTATGATACCTACCTAACAAACTATTTTATTTTGAACATGAAGAAATATTGACATATCATATCATCGCGTTGCTATTACCTATCTACCTACCAACATACACACCCAGTTTACACATTTTTGTTGTGAACGGAGTTGTGAACTTTCAAAAACTTACTTTCTTGCCGATTCATCGACAGCTTCAATAATTTTGACTGTCCTAAACTGTTTTTTCGTTCAATCTTCTGGACGAAGTTAATCAACTAACTACTATCCTAACTATACCTAAGACTCCGAAAACTTCAAAGTCTTTAAAGGCAAGTGAGAGCAACCAATAGCAATATAAGTTCTGAGTTCATGTTTTCAGTGATGATAATTATTTCAAACAGAGCTTCTAACCTTCGGAACTACCGAAAACTTGGTACTTATTCAGACTCGATTCAGAATATTTCCTTTCAATCAAATTGAAAAGGAAGAGTATGCAGTAACATGGGCTCGTGAACAATTTATACTGTGGTCAAATTTTGAGTTAACCGATCATAAACTCCTAACCGTAATCTTGAGCT